CCCCCCCCCCCCCAGCCCCCTCCCCCCGCGTGTGCAGCAGGTGTCAGCGAGGGCAGACAGTCCTCTCGTAAATGCTGCATGACACCTCGCAGAAGGGAGCACAGGACACTGAGATGGCGTAGAGGGGAGCGCCGTGGGTCCCGGGGAGAAAGGCCCTCATTGGGGTGTGTACGTGTGCAAATATAGCCACGTGGCTACGTTCTCCAGCTCGTTTCTTAGCCTCATTTCTTGAATGTTGGCTACCTATTTAGAAAACAGGTACTTAGGAAGTAAGCCCATAAGGTTTTCCAAAAAATTTAAGATGTTTTGTTTCCAAAATGTGTATTATGCTCAACCTTTAAAGAACATGTATCTCCTAAGCACGCATGATGGCCCTGCGTTCCTGGTGTCATCCACACGGTCTGCTCTCTGTGCGGGGTGTTGATGGACACGTTTGCGCATGGAGAAGGAACTCTGGAGATGTAACTTATTATTTGACTTGGCTGAAAGGTCACGTTACCGAAAATCTTCCTGGGGCTCTATTGTGGAGTCTCCTCTGAGACTTGTGCCCTTTGGGTAATGGACACTCCTTCCTGTGCTTCAGAAAGACGGTCTTCCTTCCGAACTGACCGAGAAGGCGCCTGTCTTTATTTCCAGAATTTTGGCAGCAAAGGCTCAGGTTAGGTTGGGTCTCCCAATCTGTCCGTGGAGGAAGCCTGCGACCGTCTGAGGTGTTCCTCACAAAGCCTCCACTTCCTGAAGAAAACGGACTTTGGACCCAGGCTTCTGAGATTAGGAATCTGGGTTGTTTGTGTTTGCGGTCACTGGTGGGTCATTGTGCTGATGTCAGCGTGTTCAGTCTGGGTTTCGAGAATAAATCAGGTGTTTGCATGAAGAAGCTGATCCTGAAACCGACAGAAACAATCTGTGTTCTCAGTTTCCAAGGCTAAACTAGTTCACAAGCAAAAGGGACCCTGGCTGCTGTAGGCTGACTTTAACCCTCAAATGTATGTAGAATTGGCACACTGAAATGGATATATAATTGTGCTATCAATCTTTTGGTTTCAAATTTTTAATTGGTTGGGGCTAAATCTGGATAAAGTTTTCACATCACAAATTGTGTAGAGTGAAATCTTAACAGTTGAGGTTATATTAGTGTTTATGTTTTTATCAGAAATTAGAAAAACTCCCGGGTGCTGTGAAGTCTACTGAGTCAGTTTCCTGATTGAAGTATCTGAATATGACTGGTAGTGGATTATCCCTTCCAGTCCTCACTGGACTGAATTCCATGGCTTCCAGAGTACTGTCACCCCCTGCTGGCCAGTCCTGGAACCACAGTCTCATAACCAAGAGGTGTGGGGAGACCACAGGTAGAGGAGCAGGTACAGTGCAGAGTGGTGAATTCTGCAGATGTCAGGAGAGAATTCTCTGGGAGCCCAGGTCTCCCAGCCTCTGATGTGACGAAGGCTGTGCAGAACAGAGGGCATATGCCTCCTGTTGAGGGCTGGATGAGATTTTCTCGTACACGAACCTGGAGGTGGGGCAAGGTCAGCAGAAAGGTTGTCCCAGCAACAGGCAGCGCTGGTGAGGCTGGGCAGGTCAGCAGGCAGCACTGCATGAGGGTGGGGGCTGTGTTTGGATGGTATGGACCTGTTCCTCGGGGTTGGTGTGAGGGTGGGGGACTCACAGGGCACAGGGCCACTAAGATGGGCTGAGTCAGGTCGAGGAGGGTCTGAGCGCTGGGTTAAGATGCTGAGACTGTCTCCAGAGGCCTGACCACGTGCTTCTCGCTTTCCTCTGGAAAACGGGTCACCATGAAGACAGGGTTCCAGGTAAATACAGTTAAGGTTGAATTTCAGATAGATAATGAACAATTTTTAGTAGAAGTCTATCCATACTAGTGCATTATTCATTGTTTATCTGCAGTTCAAATTTAAATAGGCATCCTGTGTTTTATTTGCTACATCTGGCCACCTTAAAAGATTATCATAGAGCAGAATGTATTCATCTGATGAAGTCTTACCCTTGGAGGTTATTAACCCAACCATAGGTTGAACATTAATTAAAGCAAAGATGTAACCAAAATTATGGTGTTAAAGCAAAGATACAAGAATTGTAAACTTCTGTACTGACTTAAGATTAAGTTATGCTTTTAACTTGTAAAGCGGGTGTAAAATGCTGTATGCTCTCACTCTGCAGGAGGCTGGTCTTCCTGCAGATGCGCCCACAGTACTGTGTCCGAGACCCCGCTGATTACGCGAGTAGTCCAGCTGTAGTAGAAGCTGAAGTACAGTAACGGTTTTGCTCATCTTGGAGTAATGAAGCACCTTGTGGGCATGATTGACATACTTGTCTCTTTAAAAAAGCTTTCAGAGGATTTTGCTTGGTCCCTTTCCCTCCCGAGACTTCCCTGTAACAAGCAGAAAATGAAAGCATTTTGGTGCAAAGCGTGTGCCTGTGTGTGTTTGAAATTCTATTCCCAGGAATTCAGGGCCTGCAGAACAAGCATCCTGAGAGTCTGTCTCTGGTATTTTCTCCCTTCTTGTCCCTGCTTCCCGCAACGTGCCGGGTGATGTGCTGGGGCCGACAGCCTGGGGAAGAGCGGAGATGGTGGCCCAGTCCTTGTCGCTGGGGATGGCTGGGGCGCTGTGGCGGATGTGCCAGGCTGTGTGGATAGGAGCCTGGGGTTTCCCAGCCGTCCAGCCATGACCCACCGGCCTGCCTCTGGGACTCCTGCTCTCTGGACAGCCGACTTCCGGCTGCCTGAGCCTGTGAGGCGGGGCAGGGTGGGCTGGACCAAGCAGGGACACCTACACCCAAGGGGCAGGGGCTTCAGGAAGTTGAGAGGGTGACTCCTGGCCTCGATTTGAGCTGTGGAGCATCCCCCTGCTGTCACCAGGCTTTCAGAGTTGCCCTCGCCCATGTCTGGGGTGCTCCTGGTTTTCCAGGGACCCTATGTTGTAGGCCTCTTCCTTTCAATCATGTAGTATAAGAAGTTAATTTTATCACTTATGTAGACTCAGTCAACGATTTACCTAAAAACAACAAGCACCCTTTCTCCTGTAAAACGAAATGAAACCAGAACTTCTAAAGAGCTTAGACTCATTACTGATAACAGCTCTGGGATTTCAGCCGTGTGTTTTGGTGAGAGCTCACAGGGCAGTCATCCTAGGTCACAGGACGTGCGCGAAGAGGCATGTTTCCTTGGGAATGAATATCCCCCATCTCCAGGAAGCCGATGTACAGAAACTGTAATGGGCGGGTTTGTGTTCCTCACTGTTCATGGGGACACAGAAACGTACCCCGAGTCTCCATGCTGTAACCTATAGCATTTACAAAGCAATAGACTGCACTTCCTCACAGCCGCTCGGTATTTCTGGTAACTAACAAGGTCAGACGCTGATTCCTGGAAAGTGCTGTGAGTCATGCCACGTTGGTTTTCTCTGAGTAGAAATCTGATTTTTTCCTTCCAACGCCAGCATTTAAATGACTTATCTAACCATGGGCTCCATTCAGATGGGCCCTGTGGTCAGGTCAGCAGCACAGAGCGAGTCCGCCTGCTGCGTTGTGGGAGCGGGTGTGTCCAGGGCACCTCCCCTGGTGCAGCCACCATAGGCGGCGTGAGTGGGCCCCGCCGAGCTCCAGTGGAGCCCAGGGTGTTTATGGAGCCATCCCTGCTGCCCCCTCAGAGGCCACTTGGAGGGTTTGTCTGTGGCTTATGCCTGCCCACCCCCCTACTCGCTATTCCTGGCTGCCAGACCTCTCGCTTTGGACGGTAGTGTCACCCCAAATACACCCAGATCATTCACTGGGTCTTTGAAACTTCACATGAGGTGTGGAACAGGGCTTCAGAGTAAGGCTGTACGTACATGAACGAGGCTGAGTAGATGCACCCACCCTCACGCAGGGTGACACGGGGTGGCATCCTCATCGTGGGAGGCCTGTTGTCTGTATTTGATGTGGGAGCACATTTCCTGGTCTGTGTTTCTGACTGTAGGCATGTCTGTCTCCACTGTAGGACTGGTAGCCATAAAGGACGCCCATGACATAGAAACCAGGCTCAACGAGGTGGAGAAGTTGCTGAAGACCATCATAAGCATGCCATGTAAGGTGAGTGGGTCAGGTCTGGCTGGGTGGGGCGGTGGCACATCCCAGCAGCGTCCACATAGCTGGCCTGTTGGCTCCCTTGGCCACCTGCCCCTCCCTGGAAGTGTCAGGCCATAGGGAGGCCAGTGGGTAGACCTGGGAAAGAAAGACTTTGATGAACTCCAGTGGCTCCATTGTTTCCTCCCTGGGCAGGTGGGAGTGAGGGGCCAAAGAGGCGTTGAGTAGGAAGGGAAGGGGCCCTCCGCTACAGTGGTCCTTGCTTTCCTGCTCCCATGCAGAAGCCCCTGGTCTGGCTGAGGGTGTCTGAGAAGAGGCAATAGGAGCCCGAGGGAGTGTTGGCCTCAGCAGCGGCAGGTGGATAAGCAGCTTGCAGGCCTGGGTGCTGTGGTGATGAGGCACCGGCTGAGTCAGGCGACCACCTTACTCCTGCAGGCTGTTGCCTGCCTCCTCTGTGGGCGCTCATAGTTTACTGTGAAGTGAAGGGAGCTGTGGGGAAATGCTGGCCATGCAGCACTGAGAAAAGCTAGCCAGCTTCTGTCACCCTGTCCCAGGGGCCCTGTGTTTAGCCACGTGTCCATAAATAAACGAGGTCAGCGATTTCCGCCTCTTCCTCATGGTCGGTCCTGTGGGCTGTCTGAACAGCTCTGGGTAGCACTAGATGGGGCCACCTTGTAGAGGATTAATTTTAGTAATTAACCCATTTCTCCCCAGTATTCTAGGTCAGAAGTCGTGCTCACCTTCTTTGAAAGATCTCCTCTGGATCAGGTGCTAAAAAATGACAGTGTACATAAAATTCAACCCAGCTTTCAAAGTCCAGTGAAAATTTCAGGTAAGAGCTACAGGGAAGGCCTGGGGGAAATGCCGCGGGGGTTTCTAGGAGCTTTTCAGTGCGGTGCCTGCGTGGCTGTACCCCCCTCCCCCCCGGGCTCCAGAAAGACAGCCCAACAGATGGTGAGCATCGTGGGTGAGAGGCTGCTACCAGATCCCTATGAACAGTGTGTTTTCTGACCCAGAGTTCACACTCCCCCTCCGTCCTAAGGGAGTTACTTGGCATATAAATTGGAGCTTACAAAGCAGTATAATGATGAAAACATCAATGAGGCATTTCTGATGCAAACTTCTGGAGCCAGTAGTCTAGCCTGCTGAAAAAGATAGTGCACATAATGTGGCATTGAATTGTTCTTAGTCTAGGGCAGCCGTGGCCAAAGGGGAACACACCGTCTAGGTATTGTTAGCATTGATAAATTAACTAAAACATTAACGAAAGAGGCAAGGTCAGCAGCAGTAAGTAATTGTGCCCGGAGCAGCGCGCTGGTCAGCTCACCTGTGGGGTCACATGAAAGGAAGGGGGCCCTGGACTTCACCCTTCGTGGTGGCTTTCTAAGCTCTGGTTGCCCCTGTCGTTAGAACACTGTTGCTTTCTCAGTGCTGTCTGTGAAGGCCGCTGAGGGAAAGAGCTCTGCCCCGGGTCGCAGGCAGGCACCGGGCTTCCCCAGGCAACAGGCAGTCCACTTGTTTTGGCCTAAGAAGTAGCGTTTGCGTGGAGTCCTGCAGGGTCTGCCAGGTGGGAAGGGAGGGAAGGCAGCGGGCTGTAGGCTAACCGTGAGGGCCTGCAGAGCATCCTGGTCTGTAGGAGGCAGAGGGGGGATTCTGGAGGAGGAAGGAAGGAAGAGGAGGAATGGAGGAGCAGCCTCTGGAGGAAGTAGATGAGAGGGGAGACGAGGCCAGAGCCGGCTCCTAAGAAGAAATTGGTGGTCGTGGTGAAGGGGAGACCGAGGAAGCCAACCCGGGGGATGTCATTGGTGGAAAAGTGTCCTTGTTGAGTTCTGTGCCACAGCAGGGACCAGAGTCCTCATTGTGTGTTGGTGAGGTGGGCAGGGTGGGTGAGGTCTGGGAACCTGGGATGCAGAAGGTACTTCCAGGTATGACTGTGTGTGGATGAGTGGGAAGCCTGGGTTTGTCTGTCTGCTGCTTTTGATGTCTATGCAGCTTCCTGTGTGTTCCTGGCAAGAGGAGCAGGGGTCAGAGCCCTCTTCCTTCGTAGTAGAGTGAAGGTGGCTGTCGTTTATCCTGGTGGGTGTCTGTGGGCTCCAGGCTCGGAGGCTCGGAGGGCTCCGGGACCAGATGGCCAGTCCTGCTGGTTGCATGCTGCCAGCTGGAGCGGGGCAAGCTCAGTCCTCAGTACGAGGTGGAAGGGTCCCAGCACTGGTGTCCCTGCTCTGCTTCAGTTCTTTCGTGTTGAGCAAGTGGGAGAGCAAAGAGCAGCACAGTCCTTTCAGGGCCGGTGTTGGTACAAGAGCTGGTGTGCTTCAGGTTGGCCCCACGTGGAGAAGGACAGACTCGGGCTGTGTGGCGTTGCCTCTGAGTACCTCCCAGAGTGCGACCGCATGGGACATCCCAGCCCTCTTAGTGGCCTGTCTTATCGGTGACGGTGACGGGTAAATGCAAGGCCACGTCTGCCCTAAGGAGCTGAGAGGACTGAGATGAAGGGATGGCGGTAGAGTCCCATGCTGATGTTTTAAGTATGTTCTCCCTGTTTTTTTCAAGAGGACTGAGGACAGAAGTTTTGGCTTGCCCTGTATGTGAGCCTCAGTGAGGCCTTGCATGGGTGACCAGGGACACAGTGTCCAGGTCTAGGGAGGCAGGGTGCTGACCTCCTCCTGCCAGCTGGGAGCCCAGGTGTGGGGTGTATGCTCTGCCCTGGGGACATAGCAGTCACTACCCCCCAGTGTTGGCTCTGCACAAAACACTTTATAATAAACGGGGCTGCCAAAAAATGGAGTTTGTAAACATCTGCACGTCGGTCCCCGAAATCCTCCAGCCAGGGGCCTGTCCAAGGAACCCGTGCACGAGGTGGCAGGCTCGGGGAGCACCAATCAAACCCTTCCTGAGCCGAGTCTCTGACAAGAAGGGGTGTCTTCTTCTGCCCTCATCAATGGAGCCCGAAGTCTGGGAGTCTCCCTTTGAAGCTTCCCAGCATAGACTAGCGTGTAGGTGTGTCGGCCTGGGGGTGTTCCATGGAGGTGGGGTGCACACTCACTGCTCGAGGAGATAAATATACAAAGACAAGGCACTGTGGTAAATTAGGAGACACTTTTCAGTTAAACTGGGGTTTGCAGTGGCACCGACATCCCTTTTAAGAACGAGTGCACACGTTTGCCAGTGGTGCCTTTCAGTCTCCGTCCCATATTCTGGGGTTGCTGCATTCGGGGGTCCCCCAGGCCTGAACATCCACAAGTGTCTCTATCAGCCTCACCCTGTCCCTGGTTTATAGCCTGGATGCTGACTGGTCATCCCACAACTCTGGCTCCCTAAGCTTAGTAATTTCTTAGAACCCGGCATCCACAATAAAACCCAAGCCACCCAGTCATTCTAGGCATGTCAGAGTCTGGCTGGCTCCAGCTTTCTGATTTTCTCACCACAGCACCCTCTGCTGCAGACCCTCCGCCACTTCCTGGCTGGGCTTCTGCTGGGGTTCTTGTTCCAGCATCTAGAAGGGTTCAGCAATCTGGAGAAGGGCTGTGTGTAACTTAATAAAGAGTCCAGAGACAAAACATAATTTTGAAAGGCATTATAGGGAGTCAGAGGAGCCTAGCTAAAGAAACTAAGATCTCCTCGTTTCAGGACCCCTTGCTTTTCATTAACACAATTTGTCCTAAGGCGAGGTAGATATATATATACACTTCAAAGGGTAGGGTTAGGTACAGAATCCATTGTCAGATTGGAAGAATTTGCCTACGGCTATTCAGGTGTTTGGCCAGTAGGAGGCAATAACATGTAGATTAAGATGCCCTGAGCTGTCTGGCAGCAAGCAATCATCCCTTTTCAGGTTTGGGAAATGCCCTCAGCCATTCCCAACAGGTGACAACATATGTGACTCAGCCCTTGTTGAGTCCCCAAGTTCCATCAACCTTTTGATGAAACTCTTGCAATTATGACATGGTGGAATTGGCTTCCGGCAGGCTTCGCTTGTGCTGTGTCTGCCCCTCCACGTCCACTCCTGTCCTGCTAAATCCCATTCATTCGTGAAAATGCCCTCACTTGCTGCGACTCACCCAGCCCCTCTTCCTCCTCTCCCCGGAGATTTCCTAGTGCCTTCTCATGCCATTGACATGGCATTTAGGGAGGAGGTGCCATGGGAACGGGCACTGGCCTCCCTGGCTGTGGGAGGCTGCTCTTCACACTGGTGACTTAGGTGCATCAGGCTTCTGCAGGCACAGCCTCCTCTCTAATGTTCAGACTGTGCAGTGGCCACAGGCCCCACTAGGTGGCACCAGGCCCTGGTGATGCAAGAACTGAGCCAGGTCGTGGGCCCATAACAAGGGCAGTGGATTCTCTGGTGATGCTTTGGGTCAGTACAACCTCAAACAGTCCTCACCCTATGTTAATCTAACTACTGTCAAACCTAAGAAAAATAGAATATGTGAATTAATGAACTGAAGGACTGATAGCATATGGAGCACTGGAAACCATGGCTGCAGTTAAAAAAAGAAAAATCATTACCACAGTAGTAATTACTGCAGAAAAGATCCATTGATAGCTGCTAAGATTAGTGGCCAAAGTTTCAGGAGAAATAGGATTTGCAGAATCTGGATGCATCTCCCTAAAGGTATTTCTTAACCACAAGGGAAATATAGTAACCTTTGGGGAAACTGGCAGAAGCCTCCTTACGCAGGTAATCCAGGCCCACATCCCAGGAGTAAGGCCAGTGACATCACACACCCCTGATGCGATGCAGCCAGGAGGACCCAGTGTCCCTCTGCAGGGCTCCTGCTAGAGCGAACCACTGAGGTCAGAGCTCATGGAAGTATCAGACATATCGAGGGACAGTCGGTAAAATAACTCACCAGTCTCTTCAAAAGTGTCCTGGTCATCAGAAATGAGAATAGACTGAGAACTGTCAGAGGTCATAGGAGAGGAGGACACAACCGCTTAATGCAGCAAGGAGTCCTGCATTGGGTCTGAAACCAAAAAAAGCTGGTGAAACTCAAGGGAGGGAGACGTTCCGTTAACAGACCTGTGCCACGGTAATTCCCTGCGGTTGGTAATCCTACCGCAGTTACCTAAAAAGTCAACGTTAGGAGAAGCTGGTGAGGGATATGTGAGAACTCTGTACTGGTTTCACAACTTTTTTATAATTCTAAAATTAGCTCAAAAATGTTAACAAAAATAAGAAATGGCAAAGCAGGACTCTACTTAATGTGAAAAAAATGTAGTTTGAGAATGCACCATAACAAAAATAAGAAATGGCAAAGCAGGACTCTACTTAATGTGAAAAAAATGTAGTTTGAGAATGCACCATTTCATAGAATCAGTCATGTATGTGATTAAATTGGTCAGTGATTTTTTTTTTACTATAAGTATTAAGCTGACGTCTAAGAAATTAAAATGCTGTAATTTTTCTGTAATCACAACACTGCTTTTGCTTCTTTTTATTTGCATGACACAGCAGATACGAAGACATTAGCAACCACAGTAATAACTACCATTCCTCAAGCAGCAGGTGCTTATTCGGTCTTTACAAATACCACCTCGTTTAATCTGTACTTGTGCCCTTTGGGGTGGATACTGTTGTTCCCATTTTACAGAAGAAGAAACTGACTGAGCAAGAAGTAATCTGCTCCCCAGGCAAAAGTAGCAGAACTGGAGTTTCCTCAAAGGCCCAGGTGGCCTTGTGAATAATTAAACCACATTTCTATGCACAAAGGCTGAGCACAGGCAGCTAAGGAATGGTTTGCTACATGTCTATTTTGAGGGGGCTGGTCAAGATTCCATTTTTTAGAGCTTCAAGTTTCACATTTAAGAAAAATTAGGAAGGCCTAGCTGGTTTGGCTCAGTGGATAGAGCGTCGACCTGCAGACAAAAAGGTCCCGGGTTCGATTCCAGTCAAGGGCATGTTACCTCAGTTGCAGACTCCTCCCAGCCTGCGCCCTCATGTTGGGACTCATGTAGGAGGCAACCCAATGTGTTTTTCTCACATCAATGTTTCTCTCTGTCTCTCTCTCTTCCACACTCCCTAAAAAATCAATGGAAAAATATCCTCGGGTGAGGATTAACAACAACAACAAAACACAGCAACAAGAAAGATTAGGAAGTTTCTCTACAAGGTATTTCCTCGGAACGTTCAGAAATGTTTGAGGCACTGACATTTGTTTTCACTTGTAAGGTTCCCCCCATCCCCTTGGTTGGGGTGGGGTGCAGAAAGGTGCTGGGGCCATCTGCCGACTGTGCTGATGTTACTAAGGTCTTCTGTGCTTCCTGAGAGAGACAGATTTGGGTCAAACTTGATGAAAGCAGCTAAAGAAAGTGTTTGTTTTTTATTGTTTTCATTAGGGCTCCCATATGTTTGAAATTGAGAGGGAGGGAATCTTAGTCTTTCTGGTGAAGAGTTAGTCACCTTCAGAGTCACTCAGGCTCCGGTAAACATCATCTTGCACCTTCTCACACCTCAGAAGGGAATAGACCCTGGAGGTTCCCAGCGCCCATGTCCGTTGGTCTTCGCTCCTTCTCAGGACTTGCAGGCTCTCTCGCTGGTTCTCATGCAGGGAAGGTGGCGGCTCTGCTGGGCCCCGCCTAACGTCACTGGGAGTGGGACTGGCTGAGCTGATGTTGAGAAAACCCGTGAAATGTGAGCTGTCACCTCTCCAGAAAGCCAATTGGAAATTTTAGCAACAAATTACTTGGCAAATCTGAACAATGAGTTGTCATTTTAATCCTGTAGGGATGAGGAGGAAACCTTATATTTTTCTTTCTTCATTTTTGTGTAGTTTCCCTATCTCTTCATATGGAGACAAATTTAACAAACTGAAAACCAAATACCTAGAAAGATTAAAAATAAGCATCCACTTATAAAAAGCAAATCCATGCATGGGAATAAAACAATCTAAGTTATGGTCAGATGTAAGAAAAAATAAATCTCCCAAACAGCAATGCGCCAGGTGCCCAGTGAGCCGGGTGCCCCCGCTGCCTGTGCCGTGCCGGGGGAGGAGGGCCGTTTGGAGCTGCGTGCCTCTATGTGTTAGGCTCTGACTGGGAAGATGGTAATCCTTTGGAAAAACCTTTGAATTTGAGAATGCACCAGGAACTTTCCAGTTGAGGGTACTGAGTCCCCAGATCATAGAACCCCTGGCTGATCTGAGCCCCAGTGGTGCGGTAACAGCTACCACACCCTCGGGCACCACCATTCCACCACTTCCAGCGCCCGTCAGACCAAGACATGTGCCCTCGGAAAGCTAACACCACAGAGCCAACAAGACATATGAAGACTTTTTCTTTGTGGGCCTTTTTACATTATCAAAGTTTGTGCTTGTTAGTAAAAAGTCAATTTACATGGCAGAATGAGAGAAAGTGAAAAGTGAAGTTGCCCATTTGGTTTAAGACACACACTGATCTCATTTGATCCATGGCAGCCCCCGGGGGGCGGGGGGGGCCCCGAAGGTGCTGTCCTGTCTGACAGATGGGAGCTTAGAGCCCTGCAGAGCCACGCAGTGTGCCGCGGACCCGACCAGGACTCAAACCAGACTGACAGATGTGGGCTCAATGCTCCTTCTGCCCCAGCTTCAAACGCATGGGGAGGGTGTCTGGGAGAGAGCTCAGACATTCCTGGGGGAGAGAGGCGCCTCCCGCTTGCACAGGCCGCAGGTATGGCTCCTGTGAAGGCTGCGCCAGCCCCTGAATCGTATGCAGGACTCCAGGGTTGGCTCCAGCTGCACCTGTGGGTGCAGTGTTCCCCTAAAGTGTGGGGGAGACAGGGCAGCAGGTGGAGGGGGGAGTCTGCAGATTGGTGTAAGCCCCAAACTTTAAAACTTCAAAATCCGACCCGACCTGAATATTTACCTGTTGCTTTCATTTTCAGAGATCATGAGGTCCAACGGATTTTGTTTAGCAAATACAGAGACTATCGTTATCGACCACAGTATACCCAACGGAAAAGAGCAGCACCTGGGTGTGGATCCGGCAGAGCATTTGTGAGTACGCTGGTCTGCATGTCGTTTTACAGATGGGATCCTGGAGCGGTTGGCTAGGGCGGACTGGGTTCACCCCGTGCGGAGCTCTGTAGGCAGGAACTACCCGTGGCCACAAACACCAAGCCATCCTGCCTGTATTTGGACACTTATTTAGAGAGTTGGCCTTTTCTAGAGGACGTAAGACTGTGGTTCATAAACCTGTGGGGACACAGTTCCTTCGCCCTAGTGGCTGGCTAAGTGGCCAAGCTTCAGGGTCTGGTCTGTGCTGGGCCCTGAGGGGGCACAGGGACCACAGCCTCCTTGGTGCCAGGCCTGGTCTCCTGGGATGGGGAGAAGTGGCACCTGCACCTCGGCCTCACGTCGCAGGGCTAGACCTTCTCCAGACGCCCGGGTGCCGGGGCCTGGCCCAGGGGGCCTGCTCTGCGGAGGGGAGGATGAGTGACTAGTGAAGGTGGAACAGCCAGAAACACCACTTCTCCGTTCTTCCTCTCTTTAGCAGAACTTTGGCCTGAGTGCCCTGGGGAAGCTGGCACTGGGCCCCCTTGAGGCACAGCTGCCTTCTCCTCAGGAATCATCAGACAGCAGCTTCAGGGAATCATAGCGTGGCTTCTGTGGACTGTCGACACAAGGGTTGTGTGGGTGTCAGGAAGTGATTTAGCCTCTCCTGGCTCCTCTGAATCTTTAAAGTGGGACCACTGTGTTCTCCAGCGTCCACTGTGCAGACCTCAGGTCCCAAGGGTGGCACACCTGGCTCAGGAGCCCAGAGGCAGCGCTGGGTGTGCAGTCTCCCTGTGGGCAGGAGAAGCACACCCGTGGGCAGAGGGGCTGCTCAGCATCCCAGGCCCCGGCCCATCCACTCCACTGAAAACAGACATGGACTAGGACAGATTCATGCTGAGACACCCAGGCGAGGACTGCAGGACACTGTGTGACCCCAGGAGTGACAGCCCCAGGTCGGGGAAGCCCTGTCAGCCCCATGGAACGGGCTCTTTCTTAGTGTCTCATATGTCGCTCAGTTAGGTGGCACAAGAACCCTTCACTGTGGTGTCATGAAATGCTGGTGAGGCCGAGGGGTCCCTCCTATAAAATGCTGCTGTTCCTTTGCACACCCTGCCCTGCCACACGCGGCACGGTACCTGCTGTGTGTGTACGGAGGGCGCGTTAGTTCATGCTGTAATGCAGGGCTGGCATAGTGGAAAGCCCTCCACAGTTTGACATCGATCCTAAGTGCCCTCCTGCAGTGACCTGCTGTACTCTCTCCATCTGGGTGGCGCTGGGGCACCGAGCCAGCTGCAGCCCTCACCTTTGTCCTTCCTGTTTCAGGTTTGAGAACGGCAGTGAGTTCACCTCCGAGCCGGAGGACGGCGATGACCCAGCAGCTTATGACACCAACCTGTCCTATTACCACCTGGTCCCCTTTGAGACGGACATTTTGGACTGAGTCTTCATGGGCCCTCCTCAGCCCTCAGCTGCTGGTTCTGCTGCTGTTCACTGGGCCCTATCCCACCAGGGCCCCCATGCCTGCACTGACTGAGCACGGCTCTGCTGCCAGGCCCCGCACCGAGGCCTGGTGTTCTGTGGTGAGTGGAGTAGTGGGGGTTTCTGGGGTTAGCACCGACCCCACGATCTCCAACAACCAGGAGTCCGGCCCGGGAGTCCGCGACGCCTACTGCTGAGGAAGGCTCTCTCCCACTGCACACCCCCGGCCTGTTTCTGCATTCCTAGGACTCGCTCGCTCCCCGTGTGGAGGAGCTACAAGTGCCTGCAAGACATCACAATGCCAGGGGGCCACCCAGGGCCTTGCTGGGTTCCTCCTCGCCTGTGACTGCTTCCTGGGAGGAGCCTCCTCCTGGTGCAGGGGCCCAGGGCCAGGCGCCCCTCCCTCCTGCCATCCCCAGCACGACAAGCACACAGAACAACCCACGTGAAATCTGTTGAGTCCCAAGTTCTGGGCGACACAGGCAGGGCATATTAAGTAACCAGCCTTTTCCTAAGAAGCAGGATGTGGGGCTTCCATTTGTTTTTCACCTTTTGTCTGGAAACTGAGGGCTGGCTTTGTGTCAGCCACAGTGGGTGTTTATAGAAGGGGAATTGTGGATGGGGACAGGAACGGGGGATCATTGATCACGGGGTGCTTATGAGTTGGGGCTGAGTTAGTGATGCTGCTCAACAGGAAGAGAACCCTGCCTGGCCTGCCAGCATCTCTTCAGGGTCACAGTGCTGTGGCCACCTGGGCCCCGAATTTGTCTCCTGGTGACCAGCTCTCCACCATGGAACTGCCATAGTAACGTGAGGGAAGAGGGTGAGAGGAAAGCCACGCACTCAGTTCGCCCGTTGTTTCCCTCTCCCTCAGGGAGGGTCTGGGGTCTGCGTGCTTATCTCCTTTATTTCTTCAGTGTCTACTAAGGACCAATATCTGCTAATGTAAATAATAATAAATTATTGAAAGTCCTAATTATTTTACACAGTCTGTTTTTTAAATCTATTTTAATGAAATAAAATATATTACTCTTTTTTTCTGGATGTCGTGTTTGCGTATGAAGGTGTGCCTCCTCGTATTCCCTCCAGATAGGGGTGGAAGCCAAACCCTGCCCTCAGGGCTGGTCCTGAGCCCCGGCCCTCGTCATTGAGCAAGGTGTTAGGTTAGTTGTGTAGGGTTTTCCTCTTCTCCATGTTCCTCGTTGGAACATGTTCTGTGGCCCAGGAAACCTGTTCTGTGGCCCAGCTGCACACGCGGGATCTCCCTTCTGCCTTCCAGCTGTGCTCAGTTTACTGCACCCTCCTTTCAGGGGGCTGTTAGGTGGCTGATGGGGGTTGACCAGTTGCCTTTCTTTTCTTGAGGGTAAAATTCACTTCTGTCCAAGGATAGGGCTGGTTGCTTAGCAGTTAAGGTTAGAATCTATCACCAAAGAAGTGAAAATATATGCCCACGCCAAGACTCAAAAAACCAATTAGCTCATGTATCATCCAGTGGATATTTCTGGAATGCCTGTGTCCCTGAAGGGGCACTATGCACACCGGAAACCGAGGCTGCCTGGTGAACAGGGCGGGTAGGTGTGAGCCCATGCTCTGGAATTACAATGAGCCGCGAGAAGCACCTTACACTCTCAGGAGCAGCAAAACCAAAGCCATGTATCAAAAGGCTCCACTGTGAAACAGGCGGCTGGTGTCCACAGGAAGCCACCGCAGAGCTCTGGCACTCAAATCCACACATTGCAGGGACTCCCAGAGTTGCATCCCAGCAGACAGGCCACACACTGCGAGGGTTTAATCTTCTGGAAAAAAAGAGAAAAAGAATATTTGTAACAGCAACAACTGCTGAAAAGATCGCCTCCATGTTTACTCCTGGTTATGTGCTTTTTCCTCTGTGAATGCAACAGCATCCCAGTGTTAGAGAATTGCCTGGCTTGCCTTTCTCTCTTCATGGTTGCCATTCTGTTACTGGAGAATTCCGTGGATTGTCCTCTCTGTTGCTAGTGGGAGAAGGGTTCTAGGGCACCACTGGAATAAACATTTCCAGAGGCCCCTACGGGAGGATAAGATGTAGAAAGCTTTATTTGTGTTGAATTACATCCCCTGGGTTGCAAAGTTACATTTCCCTTAAACCAGTCCTGGAAGAAGCTCAGCTAGGGATTCAGCAGAGCTAGAAGCAAAGCCAGTGTCCAGAGTTTCCCTCGCATGGTGGAGCTGGGTCCAGCACAGCATCAGCCCATCAGTCCGTTCCAGCCCATCAGTCCATTGTGTGGGGCCACACGGCTGTGGGCCATGTGGGCGAGTGCAGAGTGTGACAGCTAATGGAGTCATCACCACAATCCAGTTTTAAATTTTCCTCTCCCCTTAAATAGATGCCTTGTGCTTGATTTCAGTCTTACTCCGATTCCCAACCTCAGGCAACCACGGTGCAGGCTTTCGGCCTTCGTGGATTTGCTTTTCCTGGACATTTTGTAGATCACACAGAATGTAGTTTTCGTGTCTAGCTTCTTTCACTGGAAATGCTGCTGGGACGCCCATGTCCTAACAGGTGTGAGTGCTTTATTCCTGTTGTGTGCAACAGTCCATTGTATTAATGCACCACTCGTGGTTTATCCAATCATCAGCTGACAGACATTTGGTCTGTGGACACTTTATGACATTGTGAGTTACGGGGCTATGAACACCGGAGCTAAAGTCTTTGTGTGAATATCCATGATTCTTTTTTCTTGGGTACATACCGATGAGTGGAATTGTTGGGTCAAATGGTAACTTTATTAACTTTTTAAGGAATTGCCAGACTGTTTTTCAAATTGGTATGCCATTTTATATGTATATTCTCTCCGGCCTGTTTGCAGGTTCCTTTCTCCTGACGAGACTGGGTATTGTCATTCTCTCTGATTGTAGCCATTCTAGTGGGTGTGAAGTGGATTTAATTTGCATTTCCCTCACGACTTCTGATGTTGAGCACCTTCTCATGTGCTTTTTGGCCGGCCATTCATTAATCTTCTTAGATGAAATGTGCAGTCATGTCTTTGCCCATTTTATTTAATTTTGAAATAATTATAAATCACAGAAAGTTGCAGAGTAATAGAGAGGTCATGTGTACCCTATTCTCTTTTTGTCCCAGAGGTAACATCTTACATATTTTACTATATGATCAAAAGAAGGAGATCGACATCAGTACAGTCCATAGACCTAATTCAGGTTTTTATCAGTTTTACACAGACATGTGTGTGTCCAGGACGTTTCTCACATGTGTAGATTTGTGCAGGCACCACAGTCAAATGATGGAACTTGTTTATTACCTCAAAGATCTCCCTCCTGCTACTCCTTTATATTCACATACACCACCCCCCACCCACCCCAGACTCTAACCCCTGACAACCACTAATCTGTTCTCCATCTCTATAATTTCATCTTTTGAAAAGTGAAATAAGTGGGATCCTACAGTATATGACCTTTTGAAATGGGCATTTTCCAGTCAGTATAATACCCTTGAGATCAGTACAAATTGTTGCATGTATCAGTAGTTGTTGTTGTTGTTTAGTATTTAGCTGTGTAAAGTTTCAAGAAAGAAATGACAGGCTCCAGCTTATCTTTGGCTCCATCACCAACATGAAGGCAAAAGGTCAGCAAAGGGAACAGCCCCACAGGGCAATGTCTCTCTCTCTCAGGCCTCCTCCTTCTCAGTCTTTTCTCCCCCCCGGCACAAGCAGAGTGAGCACCTCTGTAGTCCCTTGAACCTCTGTTCTGACACCCTCTGTCCACTGTGCCTTCACTCTCCAAACCCTCCAGCAGAACAGGCAGTGTCTCCTGTGTCACCATCCCTCCATGTCTCTCTGAGGACAGGAAGAGTGACTAATTTGCCTATTATCCCATAGCCACTGGGATTGGCTGAATTAAGGAATGGGTAATTAAAGAGAACATAAAAGGAAAAAGGTCACATTGAACAAAGTTCTAAACCGTGTTTCCCCAAAAGAACAGCCGACAATAAACTAACATAAAGAAATACTTTTAAAAATGTTATGCCCTGTCCCATGTTGCTCTACCTGCACAGTGGAGGTTCTTAGGTTTGATTCCTGGTCAAGGGCAGGTACCTGGATTGCAGGCCCGATCCCCACCCCTGGTCTGGGCATGTGTAGGAGGCAACCAATTGATGTGCCTCTGTCACATCAATGTTTCTCTCTCTCTCTCTCTCTCTTTCTCTTCCCCTCCCCCTCCATCCCTCCCTTCCACTCAAAATAATCAATGGAAAAAATATCCTTGGGTGAGGTTTAACCAAAAAAAAAAAAAAGTTGTAACATCCAACATCCAAAATTTCTTAATCTACAGAAATGAGTTGTTTCTCCCAATTCCATCACTCAAATCAGAGAGATTATTTCTAAGTTAAGGAAGCAATAACAAATGACAAAAAAATATTTTTATGGTCACTTTAATACCATTAATGACCTTTACTGAAACAGAGGTGGCCTGAATACCTCTCTCCATGTATTTTTATAAGTATTAATAACCCTGTACACTAAAAGGAAGTTGAAGCAAAATGCCAAATCTTTTCTAAGACTTTTAGCAACATTTAAAAAAATACAAAAACATATACTCCAAACCTTATATTAGTAATCACTTCTGTCCATAAGTGGTCAATAAAAGTTTAGAGACAATTGACTGTTCTGGTGTAAGAAAAGAGCGTTTCAATTATATTTGGAGAATGAGAAAAACTGTGTCTCCTTGGAGCTTGCTTACGGCTTGAAAGGTTGACCTTTGCACCCCTGAGAAAGGGTGCACTCCCAAGTCCGGGGAATGAGCGTGGCTGCAAGATAAACAGAAGAGAGGGCATCACAACCACATCAAAGGACGATATCACATGCTTTCCGGTAACACTGTCCAAACTCTGGGCACAACCCCAGTCAGAACACAATTTCCTAAAAAAGGAATGACTACTTCATGTTAATGTATTCTACTACATTCTAAAGATTTCCAACTTTTCTTAGAATTCCTTCTTTTAAAACAAAATTAATTCACTTTCAGACTCAGAAAATAAACTGTTTATATGACTCAATAAGATCTAAAGTATGTTCCTGTATATTCAGACATATGCACACAAAATAAAACCATGTCCCTGTAAACAACAAAAAAAGCTAATGTAAACTAAGATGAAGTACCAATATATTTTTGCAATCAGTATACATCAGTCAGCTGCCAGTCAGTGGTAGAAATGAGGCAACCAAGCTTATGAGGAGCACAGGCAGCCTCCAAATATGACTCAGAGAAAAAGGGCAGCGCCGTAGACCTGGAAGTCTTACTAACACAACGGAATAATGGCTGTCTTCCCCCAAACCCACCCAAGCGCTGGCAACAGAAACTTTAAATCCCTCAAAACTAAGACAAAGTCTCAACAAAGGCATCTTTTGGGGGGCTATCTTGGTAAAGCAAGGAAACACCCCCACTGGATTCCCACCTCGGAGACACCATGCTGGAGACAGAAGGAGACCAGGGTGCGCCCTGGTGGCGGGTAGAGCGCTGACTGGGGACGGAGGAGTGATTCTCCGCACAGGCTCTGAGGTGGGCTGCGAGGGAGCTACTGGGGGCCGCATTCTGGGGTTCCCCAGAACTTTAAAACAACATTCTGGCCTTAGCTGGTCTGGCCTTAGCTGGTTTGGCTCAATGGATAGAGCGTTGGCCTGCGGACTGAAGGGTCCCAGGTTAAATCCCGCAAAGGGCACGTGCTGGGTTGCCACTAGATCCCCAGTAGGGGGCATGCAGAAGGCAGCCAATCAATGATCCTCTCTCATCATTGATGTTTCTATCTCTCCCTCTCCCTTACTCTCTAAAATCAATAAAATATATTTTAAAAAAACATTCTGTTCCTTAACTCAATAAATAATATAAGTAATTTATTAAATACGAAAGAAAAATACAAGTCACTTGGGAAAATTAGACACTTAGCTTTTCAAAACGCCAAGAAAATCCATTCAACCACTAATTGTAAAAGCATCTCCTCAGAACAGCAGGATTTCCAAGGCAAAGACACAACGTGAAACCATT